TTCACTCTGTTATTTCTTTTTTCTGTGCAAAAGCTTTTTTTTTTTTGACATAATCTATCTGTTTTTGCTTTGGTTGCCTGTGCTATTGAGGTCTTACACACACAAAAAAATCTGCCTGGACTGATATCCTGTATCATTTTCCTAGTTTTTTCTTCTAGGAGTTTCATCGTTTCAGGTCTTTAATCTATTTTGATTTGATTTTCATATATGTTCTTTAGTCCATTGTGATTTGATTTTTGTATATGGTGAGAGATCAGCATCTAGTTTCATTCTTCTGCATATGGTTATCCAGCTTTTCTAGCATCGTTTATTGAAGAGACTGTTATTTCCTTAAGAGATTTTGTAATGTGACAGATTAAAGTATATGTATATACTGAGGGGAAAGGGCCAGTGGACAAGGAGATACAGGAAAGACAGAAGTTAATTAAAGGAGTAATGTCATGAGGAGGTGAAGTTTATAAATGTTGTACAGTAGCTGTGAACAGATGCTAATGTTAGAAATTAACTCCTATAGGAAGTGGCCACATTAATGACATTACAGGATGCCCCTCTCAGAGAGCATGAAAAAAGTTATGGAAGAAATAAGAACTTTGCTATGGCTATACGTGTAGCATCAGTTGGTCGTTTTCATGGTTTTTAAAATCTCAATCTCATGCAAAATTGAAGACTCCGTAACAAAGCAAAAAAATATTTTGTAAAACTAATGTTTCAAATCTTAGTGATTCCTGGTTGATCTCTGTATCAAAATTCTTTAGCCACCATTTGGATAGTTTCTGAATTTGGAGTTTATGAAACTTTGACATACACAGTTTTCAAAGCTTAAATCCCCAAAAGTTTGTCAAGCCAAAGTAGCAATTGGATCAGAATTTCCTCTTAAGGAATTACCAAATATTATGCAAAAAACATTTAGTGTGAGCAATGTGTTTAAACTCCATTAAAAGTACTAGAAGAAAATAATTATTTAAATATCCATTAGTTTTAAAGACTAGAAGATTGGTTTCCTTGAATAATTTTTATTCCTCTCTGATTTGTTTTTATAGAATACTTTTATGTTTGTTTTCAAAACTAAGAAGTAAACTAAAGTTTTTATTCTGTATTTATTGGCTCCTTTATCATGATCACTGTTTTATATAAACTGTCTAAAATGATAAAAATGTTGCTAATTTGATTATGTTTGAATCACCACTGGAATTTTTACTGTTACCTTGTTAACTCATAAATGGGCCTTTATTTTTTACTGAAAGCTGTATATTATAAATGCACTGTGGAAGATAGGTTTTGTCCCTTATAGAGAGCAAGGAATGTGTAATTCTGCTACGTGTGATAGAAAATGTCTTATTTTTATCATGTGTAAACAGAATAGTTGCTTTTAAGCAATGCTCAATATTATATGTATATATCATGTGTCAGATTCAGAAAACAGTAGATTATTTCTAAATATATGAGAAAATTGTTGGTTGTCTAGGCTTTTTGTTAGGTTATCTCTGACTACCTCTGACTTCAGACATTTTATGAAATTACATCTTTTTTTCTAGCTATAAAATGATATTCTTGCTAAATGCATCATGATTTCACTGTGACAATTTTGAGTTTATCTTTTGATGGAAAAATCCTAATGTACATTAATAGCTGATAATTTATTTTAAAAACTTTTAATATTATAAATCATTTAATTCATCTTTTGAAATTTCAGGGTGTACTAATGGTTGGACCCCCAGGTACTGGTAAAACTATGCTAGCTAAAGCTGTTGCCACTGAATGTGGTACAACATTCTTCAACGTTTCCTCTTCTACACTGACATCTAAATATAGAGGTGAATCTGAGAAGTTAGTTCGTCTGTTGTTTGAGATGGTAAGTGATTCAGATTTCAAAGTAGTGTGTGTAGGCCTACGATGCCCCCCATCAATGAGGTCTGTCCACCTGGAATCTTTTTGAAAAGGACAGTATAGTTATATTTTAATAGTTCTCCACACACTGATGAGAAATGGGATGGTGGGTTTTGTGGGGTAGTTGGTGTATCTTCAATGTATCTTTTTCTTTAAGGTAAAAGAACGCCTTTTGGCATCCTATCCGTTGAGGGTGGAAGAGACTTTGGCCATGTGTGTGGGCTGACTGGTATTTCTGGATCTCTAGGAAGCTGATGGAGCAGAATAATATTTTAATATTTATTTTAAAAATCAGAGCCTGATCTATCGTTAAAGTTTATTCCTTTTTTGTATGGGATTTGCAGTACCTTAAGAATGCCTACTTGAGGATTGAGGTTGATTTATTTTTGAAAGTTTTTTTATTGTTGAAATTTCCAGACCTGAAAGTAAGCATAGTACAATGACCCCTCATGTATCTGTCACCCAGCTTCACCCATAACCTTTATTTTTAGATATTTCTTTTTTCTCATGAGAATGACTGATTTAGCCTCTACCATAACCAGATGATGGCATTAAACACGAGAAGTTTCTGCTCTTTTTTGCCATTGTTTTAAAAGATTGTTTTTTAAATACTCAGATTGTTTTATGAGATAATTGAATGATTTCTTTAAAATGTTTTCATAAAGGCTAGATTTTATGCGCCTACCACGATATTCATTGATGAGATAGATTCTATCTGCAGTCGAAGAGGAACCTCTGATGAACATGAGGCAAGTCGCAGGGTCAAGTCTGAACTACTCATTCAGATGGATGGTAATTGATAATTATTGTTTCAAAACTCTTATTTTTTAAAAAATATTTTGTGTAAACTCATAATCAATTGATGGATTAGAAGGCAGCCTGAATTTATTTGTTAATTCACCCATTTGTTCATGTGCTCAGAGAGCATTTATTACATACTTGTTAGTGATCATGCACCATTTCAGATTCTGAGGTTACAAAGAAAAAGGCTAAAATGGCCTTCAGTGAGCTTACTATTTGGAGCAAGGGTTCTAGAGGTGTGATCTAGAGTCCTAGGGTTCCTTGAGACCCTTTAAAGAGTCTGCAAGGTTAAAACTATTTTCATAGGAATATCAAGTCATTATTTGCCTTTCCTTTTTCACTCTCATTCTCTCACAAGTGTACAGTAGAGTTTTCTAGGGGCTATAAGACATAGGATATCATAAAGGGTAGAAAGCAAAAGCAGATATGAGAATCCAGCTGTTCTCTAGTTAGACATTAAAGAGATTTGCAAAAAAAAAAAAAAAAAAAAAAAAAAGCCCTCTTCTGTTTTTTTAATATTTTGGAAAACATACTTTTCATAGAAATACATGAACCAAGTAATGGATTAATAGATTTATTATTTTTAAGTGAATTAATATTTTTAAATTTCTATTTTAGTTTTTTTCTTTTTTTCTTACAATTTACGCATGTACCATCTATTTTAAGTTTTAAAGGTATTGATAGATGCACTCCACACACAAAAATGCTGTTTGGAGTTCTCAATTATATATATATATATATATATATATATATATATATATGTAATTATATATATATATATATATATATATATATATATATATATATTTTAGGTTCAGAGTCTTGCTCTGTTGCCGAGGCTGGAGTACACTGGTGTGAACACAGCTCACTGCAGCCTCGACTTCCTGGGCTCAAGCGACTCTCCTGCCTCAGCCTCCTAAGTAGCTGGGACCACAGTCGCATGCCACCACATCTGGCTAAGTTTTACTTTTTTGTAAAGACAGAGTCTCACCATGTTTACCAGGCTGTAGTTGAACTCTTGAGCTCGGGTAATCCTGTGGACTCAGCCTCTCAGAGTGCTAGGATCATAGACATGAGCCACTGCACCCAGTTTCAGTAATTTTTAAGCCTCAGTAATTTTTATGAATGAATGTTTTCAATTCTTTTGGATAAAAGGGTCCTGAGATCAGAAAGTTTGAGAACCACTGATCTAGATGGGAAGCAGGCAGCTGATCAGATGAGTATAATACATTATGGTAAGTTCTGGGGTAGAAGTAAAGTCTGGGTGCAGTGGAAACAGTAGGAGAGGTACCACCAAGGATAGGGGAGTCATGGAAAGACATAGACTAGTTGAACTTTGAAGCATTGGTAGGAGTTATCCAGACAGAGAAAAATGGCCCTGGGAAGCCATGGAAGGAAGAGGGTTATGGGCTCAAAGTTGCTATTTAGAGATGAGTTACTCTGGTAGTTAGTTGTGTGGTAGACAAGAGGCCATTTAAGCAAAACATGAGAACCAATAAAATTGTTTAAAAATATCCAGACTGAGGGACTGAGTACAGTGGCTCATGCCTGTAATCCCAGCAGTTTGGGAAGCAAAGGTGGGAGGGTCACTTGAGGCCCGAAGTTCAAAACCAGCAAGACTTTAACATAGCAAAAACTTTGGAAAGTAGCTGGTTGTGGTGGCGCCTGCCTGTAGTCCTGCATACTCAGAAGGCTGAGATGGGAGGAAAGCTTGAGCCCAGGAGTTTGAGGCCACAGTAAGCTGTGACTGTGGCCCTCCAGCCTGGGTGACAGAGCAAGAACCTGTCCCATAACAACAACAAAATGCCAGCAATATCCAAGTTGTATTGTTTAAAAGCAGTCATGGTTATTCATCAACTGTGGATACTTACTGAATACTTATAATGTGGTATGAGACCCTTGCCTCAGTGAGTGTACTGTTTTAACTTTTGCTAAAGTATGAGAAAAGGAATGAATATGTTTGATTTTTGAGGTGGGGTATAGGAGAAAACATTAGGGGTTTAAAATTGGAAAAGGAAATCAATGAATATTTAGTCAGCTGAATTTAACTGAGGGATACTTGTGACTATTGTCGATTATTAGTTGGACAGCTTGATTCTTTGTCATAATGGTTGAAGTAGGAGTTTAGTAATAAGAAAATATTATAAGTTTCAGTGAGCCAAGATCATGCCAGAGCACTCCAGCCTGAATGACAGAACCAGACGTTGTTAAAAAAAAATAATAATAATATTGTAATGAACTAAGTTGCTTTAAATCCACTAGTACTTTATTATGCCAGACTAGAAAGTCTTATCAATAAAGCTTATGGGTTTTTTATATTTTATTTTTCACTAGGTATTTTCTAGAGTTTCTGTTGTGTGACCTGAAATTTTTTATTCTAAAATTTTAATTCTGAAAAGGAGACACTGTGTATATACATGTAGTTGGTTTGGTTATTTTTATCTGTGATTACCAGGGTCATCCTCAAATGTCTTGTTGATTTTTCGCAAGTCACTTAAAAGTTTAAAGGACAACATCATTGCAATATAACCTGTCTTTCAGAATTATAATTGCATGCTAGAATATTAAGTAAATGTGAACCCTCTGTTTTTACTTCTTGAGAAAATAGACTAAAAACTAAAATAAAAATTTTAAGGGACTTTATGATTTAAAAGAAATAAGAGGAATAAAACAGAACCTATTCTCCCATGCCTTTTCTTTTCAGAGGAAATATATGTTCATTTTCTTAGAGAAAAATGGATTTTTTAACTGGATTAAAATGCTGCACTAGGTTGCACAACTAAAAAAGAAAAGAAAAAACATCCTGCACTAGGTTATATGAATTCTTCTACTTCTTTGTTTTGTAGTTATCTGTTGATGAGTCTGGTTTTGCCATCACACAGAGATCAGACTGCACTGTGTTCATCATTGATTCCGTCACTATGGCTAATGGTTAGAAATGTTAACTGAATGAAAGAATAAAAGGTTGTAAGAAAAACACTGTCTTTTCCTCCCTTACTGTGTATAGGAGTTGGAGGAGCTTTAGAAAATGACGATCCTTCCAAAATGGTTATGGTATTGGCCGCTACTAACTTCCCTTGGGACATTGACGAAGCTTTGCGAAGAAGGTTAGAAAAAAGGATATATATACCTCTCCCAACAGGTATGATGACTTCTTTATTTTTTATTTTTTATTTTTTTTTGAAAGAAAGAAACAGAGAAAGGGGGGGAGAACAGGAGTCTTGCTCTATTGCCCAGGCTGGAATGCAATCTAAAAATAGGTATTAAAAACCTCTTTATTGCTGATAATTGTGCTTAACAGCGGAGACAGGAAGGAGTAAGGGAAGAAAATAACAGCCAACCAATATTTCATTTAAGTCTGTGAAATGCTATGCAAATGCTGAAGAGTGATTTACATCCAATTATGTGGTCACTTTCAAAATAGGTGTAATATGATACTGAGAAAAACGTATGTCCTGTGGACCTGGGGTGAAGAATTCTATAAATATTCACTGAATTTACTTGTTCCAGGTCTGAGTTCAAATCATAGATGTCCCTGTTAATTTTCTATCTTGTTGATCCGTCGAATATTAACAATGTGGTGTCAAAGTCTCCCACTACTATTGTGTGGGAGTTCAAGTCTCTTTATAAGTCATTAAGAATTTGTCTTATGTATCTGGGTGTTCTTATATTAGGTGCATATATATTTATGATCATTGACTCCTGTTGTTGCATTGATCCTTTTACCATTATGTAATGTCCTTCTTTGTTTCTTTTAGTCTTTGTTAT